TTGTTGTGAACATACTAAGAATCACTGAATTCAACAGTTAAAATGGTGAATTTTATTTATTTTATTTTACTTGAGACAGGGTCTTGCTGTCACCCAGGCTGGAGTGCGGTGGCACAATCTCGGCTCACTGCAACCTCTGCCTCCCTGGTTCAAATAATCTTCCTGCCTCAGCTTCCCAAGTAGCTGGGCTTACAGGCATGCACCACCATGCCTGGCTAATTTTTGTATTTTTGGTAGACTGGGTTTCACAATCATGGCCAGGCTAGTCTCAAATTCCTCATCTCAAGCAGTTCACCCACTTCGGCTTCCCAAAGTGTTGGGATTACAGGCATGAGCCACTGTACCCAGCCTTCTGAATTTTATATTAACTTTATCTCAACTTAAAAAAAAAAAAAGAGCAGAGCTACCAGGCACCTCTGTGGCACCATTAGGAAGCAGTGTCCGGAACACTCTCTGTAGGACAGCTTCTGATTCTGAATTGTTCTTTCAGTTTCTACAGCAGTAGTTACTGCCTGAAGAGGAGTTCTGTCCTCCTGTTCATCACTCTATTCATACTGATCTTCTGCTTCTAGATTCCTTGGGATACAGTTCCTTGGTTAATTCATGCCCTTGGGTTCTCCATTGTCCCCATACATAGTCCAGGAGTTCAGGATTACAGTGAGCTATGATTGTACCACTGCACTCCAGCCTGGGTGGTAGAGCAATTCCCTGTCTCTAAAAAAGAAAGAAAAACTTAAATAAGACAAGAAAAATATACAAAAGTCTATATACATAGCTGGGAGCAGTGGTTCATGTCTGTAATCACAGCACTTTGGGAGTCTAAGGCAGGCAGATCACTTGAGGTTAGGCGTTCCAGACCAGCCTTGCTAACATGGTGAAACCCTGTCTCTACTAAAATTACAAAAATTAACCAGGTGTGGTGGCAGGTGCCTGTAACCCCAGCTACTTGAGAGGCTGAGGCAAGAGAATTGCTTGAACCCAAGAGGTGGAGGTTGCAGTGATCCTAGATCACACCATTGCATGATCTAGGATCCTGGGCCACAGAACAAGACTCTGTCACCAAAAAAAATAATAATAAATAAAAAAGGAAAAAAAAGAAAAGAAAAAGAAATATAGCACTTGGACAGGCATGGTGGCTCACGCTGCTAATCCCAGCACTTTGGAAGGCCAGGGTGGATTGGGTGTGGTGGCGCATGCCTATAGTCCCAGCTTCTTGGGAGGATGAGGCAGGAGACTTGCTTAAGCCCAGGAGGTAGAGGTTGCAGTAAGGGTAGATCACACTGCTGCACTCCAACTTGGGCAACAGAGTGAGACTCTCTCAAAAAAAAAAAAGAAAAAAGAAATACGGCACTTAAAGCAATTTCATACTGGAACATAACTAGGTAGAATAATCATAGACCCAAATACATCCAAGGATTTAGTCTGTATTGAAAGTATCATCTAAGATTAGTGGAGAAACATGGTTGATTCAAAAAATGTTGGATAACTGGGTAACCATTTTAAAAAACGTAAGTGTGGCTCCCCTACCTCACTTTCCTTTGCTAGATAAATTCCAGGTGGATCATAAATTTAAACATAACAATGCAACTGTAGAAGTAACCTACTTAAATTTGAGATTAAAAAAAAAAAAAAACAACTTCTGACCGGGTGCAGTAGCTGACCCCTATGATGCCAACACTTAGCGGGGCCGAGGCATGTGGATCACTTGCAGCCAGGAGTTCGAGACCAGCCTAACCAACCTGGTGAAACCCCATCTCTGCTAAAAATACAAAAATTGGCCAGGCATGGTGGTGTGTGCCTATAGCCCCAGCTACTCAGGAGGCTGAGGCAGGAGAATTCCTTGGATTCAGGAGGCAGAAGTTGCAGTGAGCTGAGATCATGCCACTGCACTCCAGCCTGGGCAACACAAGAGGAGACTCCATCTCAAAAAAACAAACAAAAAAACAAAACAAAAAAAACCTCTGGCAACATCCTAAGTATGACTTAAATCCCAGAGTTTTTTTTTTTTTTTTTTTTTTTTTTTTAAAGAAAAAAGATTCATGAATTTAATGAAAATTTCTCTATATAGTTGTTTGTTTTAATTTTAGAGACGGGATCTTGCCATGTTGGCCAAGCTCTTCTTGAACTTCTGGGCTCAAGCAATCTGCCTGTCTGGGCCTCCCAGAGTACTGGGATTATAGGTATGGTCTCGAACTCCTGGGCTCAAGGTATCTGCCTGTCTAGGCCTCCCAAAGTACTGGGATTATAGGCGTGAGTCACCATGCCTGGCCCCTACATAGTTTTTCTTTACAGAAGAATGACAAATATAAAAACACAGTTTCAATCAACACAGTAATATTCAATTCAGCCAATAATCATGCTTGGGTACCTAAATAATTGGGTAAAAGACTATGAAGGAACAGGATTTTTACACAATTTCAGAAGTATTTCCCCACTGATTACTGATTAAAAGCAAAGGGAAAGAGACTCTTAGAGTGTAAAAATCTAGTACATACTATCCTAATTAAATGATTAAAGTTATCATTAGTGGTGGACAAATTCAATCTCCGCCTTTTGATGTGTTGCATCAAAAAGGGCCATGTCACCTAAGTAATATTTCTACCAAAAATGTTTACCTGAATCTCAACATGAGAAACAATCAGACAAATCCACATTGAAAGATGTGTAAAAGTGCTGGCCTGGTTTCTTCTAAGAGCCAGATGTCATGAAAAAACAAGGCTAGACAGATCACTTAATGGAGACCAAACAGACATCACAACTGCAACGCACGATCCTCAGTTGGATCCTGGAAGCCTAACAAACAAAGACAGCCAGGCCCACTGGCTCACGCTTGTATTCCCAACACTTTGGGAAGCCAAGGTGGGTGGATCACTTGAGGCGAGGAGATCAAAACCAGCCTGGCCAACATGGTGAAACCCTGTCTCTACTGAAAATACAAAAAACTAACTAGATGTGGTGGCATGTACCTGTATTTCCAGCTACTCGGGAGGCTGACGCAGAAGAATCTCTGAATTTATCTCATGCCTGTAATCCCAGCACTGTGAGATCAATGTGGGTGGATTACCTGAGGTCAGGAGTTCAAGACCAGCCTGGCCAACATGGTGAAACCCAGTCTACGAAAAATACAAAAATTAGCTGGGCATAGTGGCTCATGCCTGTAATCTCAACACTTTGAGAGGCCAAGGCAGGCAGATCACCTGAGGTCAGGAGTTCAGGACCAGCCTGTCCCAGATGTGTGAAACCCCATCTCTACTAAAAATACAAAATATAAAAATTAGCCCAGTGTGGTGGTGTGCACCTGTAATCCCAGCTACACAGGAGGCTGAGATAGGAGAATTGCTTGAACCCAGGAGGTAGAGGTTGCAGTGAACCAAGATCACGCCACTACACTCCAGCCTGGGCAATAGAGCAAGACTCTGTCTCAAAAATAATAATAATAATACAAAAATTAGCTGATCATGGTGGCGCACACCTGTAATCCCAGGTACTCGGGAGGCTGAGGCAGGAGAATCACTTGAGCCCACGAGGCAGAGGTTACAGTGAGCCGAGATCATGCCACTGCACTCCAGCCTGGATGACAGAGTGAGACTCTGTCTCAAAACAAAAACAAAATAAAAAAAAAAAAAAACAACATCAGCTGCCAGTGGTGACACTAGAGATAAAAAGGGGAGAAAGGCTTTTCAGTGCTCTGTTTTTCTACATATATTTCCTATTGAAGAAGGCAAGGAATTTCTAATGGAAATTTGGTAGCACAGGAAATATCTATATATTAAATGATAGCAGCATGGTATAGGTTTGGGTAGAATTCCAGCTATATATAAAATGTCTTTTAAAAAAAGAAAGAAAATACAAAGTTAGATGTCAGTGGAAATTTTTTCAGGCAATAGAAGTATGAATTTCTTTTCCTTTTCTCGTATTTTCCAAGTTTTCTGTAATGAGTTTACAACATTTTTCTGATAGACAAACATAATGACCTTTTTTTAAAAAAAATGCTTAATACCATTCTTTATATGGGATTTGTCCCTGTACCCATTTGTTTCCTCACCTCTCACCCCACAAAAAATAGAAAATTCCGGGCCGGGCGCGGTGGCTCAAGCCTGTAATCCCAGCACTGTGGGAGGCCGAGGCGGGTGGATCACGAGGTGAAGAGATCGAGACCATCCTGGTCAACATGGTGAAACCCCGTCTCTACTAAAAATACAAAAAATTAGCTGGGCATGGTGGCGCATGCCTGTAATCCCAGCTACTCAGGAGGCTGGGGCAGGAGAATTGCCTGAACCCGGGAGGCGGAGGTTGCAGTGAGCCGAGATCGCGCCATTGCACTCCAGCCTGGGTAACGAGCAAAACTCCGCTAAAAAAAAAAAAAAAAAAATAGAAAATTCCTCAGATAGGCCGGGCACGGTGGCTCACGCCTGTAATCCCGGCACTTTGGAAGGCCAAGGCGGGTGGATTATGAGGTAAAGAGATCGAGACCATCCTGGCCAACATGGTGAAACCCTGTCTCTACTAAAAAATACAAAAATTAGTTGGGCGTGGTGGCGCACACCTGCAGTCCCAGCTACTCCAGAGGCTGAGGCAGGAGAATTGCTTGAACCAGGGAGGCAGAGGTTGCAGTGAACTGAGATCATGCCACTGCACTCCAGCCTGGCAACAGAGCAAGACTCCATCTCAAAAAAAAAAAAAAAAAGAAAAAATACCTCAGATATTGTTCTGTTACTCATCAGCCTATAAATAATAAGAGGTCTTAAGTATATGAAATATGGATGGCCAGGAATACATAGTTCCAACAGGAGCACGTACCATTACACTGAAGAAAGAATGCAGAGAGAAGAGAAGGACATGCATGCCTCACCTGCTGCAGTGCCTTTTCCTTTCAGGGGCTCAGAGCTGTGCTGTATCTTGTTTTCTGTACTGTTGCAGGCAGATAATCAATGTCTTACAATCTTCTTTCTACTCTTTTTTGTTTTGTTGCTTTCCTTTTTTTTTTTTTTTTTTTTAAGAATAACTGCACAAAGACTTGCCCACCTGAATAAGTGCTTGATGAACTTTAAGCTAGGGAATTTCAGCTATCAGAAAAAGCCTCTGAAATTGGGAGAGCTTCAAGGAAACCACTTCACTGTTGTTCTCAGGTAAAGACCTGCAGGTGGGAATGTAGACCACAGGATCTGGCCAGGGCATTGTGAGTCTGTTACTCATCATTGGTCATAAGGTCCTGGTGAGCTGGTACTAACAGAACAGAAGTGGCAGCAAGGGAGGGTAGGTCAGGGCCTGGCAGGGCTGGGAGAGCAACTATAGACACCTTGCCCTTCGGAAACCTAGTGCACCCTTTGGAAGGACACCATTTTCTTCAAATACTGTATTAAAACACACTGAGCCTGTGATTCCACTTAAGACAAAGCTCCTAGAATAGGCAAATCCATAGTCACAGAAAGTAGAACAGTGGTTACAGGGGAAAAGGGTAGGAGTAATGGAAAGTTACTGTTTAGTGGGTACAGAGTTTCATTTTGGGAACAGGAAAAAATTTGGGAAGTAGATAGTGGTGAAGGTTGCCCAACAGTGTGAATGTAGTTAACCCATTTATGCCTGGTGTTCCATTATTGGAATGCTAAGTATGTAAGAGTTACTTCTATCGTACTACTCAAGATCATCCCCAAGATTTGATTGCAAAAATTCAAAAAATTACAACCTCCAGGATAAATGGGTTAATACCACCAAATTGAACACTTAAAAATGGCTAAAATGGTAAATTACATTATAAATCACTTATCACAACTTTTAAAAAAAGAAAGAGCCCTCAGGAGGTAGAGAGAAAGCTGCAGGGGAGTGAGCGAAAGACACGGAAGCTGCACTGTAGTCATTTATGATCTGCCTCCCTGAGTGTTTTTCTTTTTTTTCTCTGGATAATTTGGGTCCCTGTAGAAATATAACAGGAACTGATGACCAAGTACAGCAAGCTATGAACTCTCTCAAGGAGATTGGATTTATTAACTACTATGGAATGCAGAGATTTGGAACCACAGCTGTCCCTACGTATCAGGTTGGAAGGTTGGTATTGAATTTCTTTTATCAAAAAGAGCTTTTTCATAAAAGAAGCAGGATTTGTTGGTGGTTCTGTTTTTAATTATTTCTACGCTCTCTCATGTCTGGGGTAAATGAACCACAGTCTCATAATTTTTGTTTTAAGATAATGCATGCACAAGGTAAAAAATCAGAGTTCAAAAGAATATGACTTGAAAATTGAGCTTTCCTACCACTCTTGGTAACCCATCCAGGGGATCTATTTTTATTTTTATTATTTGAGACAGAGCCTTGCTCTGTTGATCAGGCTGAAGTGCAGTGGTGCGATGTCAGCTCACTGCAACCTCTGCCTCCCAGGCTCAAGGAGCTTGCCTGCCTCAGCCTCCTGAGGAGCCAGGATTACAGGCTCCTGCCACCACACCCAGCTAACTTTTTTGTATTTTTAGTAGTGACGGGGTTTCACCATGTGGCCAGGGTGGTCTCAAACTCCTGACCTCAAATGGTCCACCCACCTCAGCCTCCCAAAGTACTGGAATTACAGGTGTGAGCCACTGTGCCCGGCCCTATTTTTATTTTTATTTTTTAACAGGTAAGTCTTGGCTTAGTAAGTGATTCAAAGTGATTTCCACAGTAATCAGTTGGGTAACTCAGACCCAAAGTAGCCCCACAGAGATGATACATTTTATGATCTGTATTAATAAGTTTATTAAATTTGATATGCCCTTCTCTAACTCTTAATTTTATTTATTTTTTAATTTTTATTTTTTGAAATGATGTCTCGCTCTGTTGCCCAGGCTGCAGTGTGGTGGTGCCATCTCGGCTCACTGCAACCTCCGCCTCCTGGGTTCAGGTGATTCTTCTGCCTCAGCCTCCCAAGTTGCTGAGACTACAGGCATGCACCATACCCAGCTAATTGTATTTTTGGTAGAGGCGAGGTTTTGCCATGTTGGCCAAACTGTTCTCAAACTCCTGACCTCCAGTGATCTGCCTGCCTCGGTCTCCCTAAGTGGGAGGTGTGAGCCACCATGCCTGGCCCCTTCCCTCACTCTTTAAGGAAAGTGATACAGGATAAAATTAGTGACATGGAATTTAAGAACTCTGATTTACTTTTAAACTAATAAGAACTCCTCTAGACTAAGCTACAGTGGGAATCCCCTACTCTTTAAGGAAAGTAATAAAGATTAAAATTAGTGACATGGAATTTAAGAACTCTGATTTACTTTTAAACTAATAAGAATCCCTCTAGACTAAGCTATAGTGGGAATCCCATCAATAAATAGTTGGATTCATAAATGTACTTCCGGAATCCTGTTGCTCAGCAGAGACTGTGTTACATAAACTAGCTATTCAGTTAGAATTGTAGTAGTTACAAGTTGGAAATGATTTGAGTGTTCATATTCTTCCTTGTGTTTCAGACCCCTCAGGTTAGCAAACTTAGGCTTAGAGAGGGCTGCCTGAACTCATTAGTTGATTGGCTGTAGTTTGGAAATAGAGTTTTCCTGGCTTCCAATCCATTGTTTTAGCAGCTTTGTGAAGTTGCATTCGTTTTTGTGATTTTAAAAGTGCAAAATGATAAAAATCTATATTTCCTCTGTCTCTTTGAGGCAGTATTGAGAAGATGAAAAAGCTCAGGTGAAATCAGACTTGAGTTCTGAGCCTCAAATTACTCATCTGTAGAATGGAGATGATAATACCAATTCAGAAGGTGATGAAAATGAAGTGAAATGATGTTGAGGCCACATCTATTTTTATGCCTAGAAGATAGTGAGTGCTAATATGTTTTCAACCTTGCTAATGGTCAGAGGGCATTGACAAAACAATAAAAATGTGAATTGTATTATGGGACAGAATATTTAAGGGAGGGCTGTATCAACTTATAAATTTGTTATTAATTTGTTAGGACAGCCATGGAACCCTATACATTTTGTACTTCAAAGATAAAGTAAACAAATGTAAATAACTAAAATGAGATCAAATTTATCCCACAACAAAAATTACATAGCACACCCAAAGGTCAGTACTATCAGCTCAGAATTCCAAATCATTTATTTTTACAGCATAAGAACACCTCTTGCTTTCAAAGAAACCCGCTGTTAACACCACAGAATTTCCTGAAGGCAACAACAAACTCTCAGTTTATATTGTATAGGTGGAAAAATGACTTGTATCCAAAATATTAAAAGCTCTTACAACTCAAGAATAGAAAGACAACCCATTCTAAAACCTGGCAAATAGTCTGAATAGACCTTTTTTAAAATAACAAACAAATGGCCAGTAAGCACCCAAAAAGATGCCTATCATTACTAATTTTTAGGAAATGCAAATCAAAACCACAGTGAGTTGCCACTTCATACCTACCAGGATGACTGAAATAAAAAAGACAGAGAATAAGAAGTGTTGGTGAGGACTGGAGAAATTGGAACCCCTCTACGTTCTTAGTGGAAATGTAAAATGGTATAACCATTTTGGAAAATAGCCTGGCAGTTCCTCAGAAGGTTACAAAGTTAGCATATGACCCAGCAGTTGCATTTCCAGGTATATACTGAGGACAATTGAAAATCATATTTTCACACAAAAATTTATACAGATGTTTATAGCAGCCAAAAGACTGGAAACAACCTAAATGTCCGCCTACTGATGAATGGATAAACAAAATATACAATGGAATATACAATAATATATAATGAAATATTGGCAATAAAAAGGAATGAAATACTGATAAGTTCTGCAACATGAATGAACCTTGAAAACATATTGCTAAGTAAGCTGGGCACTGTGGCTCATGCCTGTAATCCCAACAATTTGAGAGGCCAAGGTGGGAGGATCACTTGAGGCCAGGAGTTCAAGACCAGCCTGGGCACCATAGCAAGGCCCCATTTCTTAAAAAAAAAAATTTTTTTTTAATTAGCTGAGTGTGGTGCTGCCTGCCTTTGGTCCTAGCTACTCAAGAGGCTTAGGCAGGAGAAGCACTTAAGCCCAGGAGTTTGAGGATGCAGTGAACAGTGCACCACCACTTCACTATAGCCTGGGTGACAGAGCAAGACCCTGCCTGTGAATGAGTGAATGAATCCATTTCTTTTTTTTTCTTTTTTTTTTTTTTTTTTTTTACTTCAAAACCACAATCAGAAGAAATTTTCTATGAAATTTCCAATGTAAGCAAATCTATAGAGAAACAGCTGGAACAGCCCAAATGGGGAGTGACTGCCAATGGGATAGGAGTTTTTTTGGGGGAGTGATAAAAATGTTCTAAAATTCTGTAATGCTCCACAATTCTTTAAAAATATTAAAAGCCATTGAATTGTACACTTAAAATTCAATGGGTGAATTATATGGTATGTGATTTATTGAATACCTTAATAAAAAGTTTTTTTAAAAAAAGAAAGTGAGGTGGGCACAGTGGCTCACGCCCGTAATCCCAACACTTTGGGAGGCTGAGATGAGTAGATCACCTGAGGTCAAGAGTTCGAGATCAGCCTGGCCAACATGGTGAAACCCCTTCTCTACCAAAAACATAAAAATTAGCTGAGTGTGGTGGCATGTGCCTATAGTCCCAGCTACTTTGGAGGCTGAGGCAGGAGAATCACTTGAACTCAGGAGGCAGAGATGACAGAGCAAGACTCTGTCTCAAAAAAAAAAAAGAAAAGAAAAGTAGCTTAAGCCCTCACATCTGTTTAAATGATTTTCGAGAAGGGTGATAAGACCATTCAAAGTGGAAAGGATAACTTTTCAACAAATAATTTTTGGGAAAATTGGATATCCACATGCAAAAAACTGAAATTGGACCCTTACCTTACAAGTTACACCATATAAAAAATTAAAATAGGCTAGGCACCATGGATTACGCCTGTAATCCCAGCACTTTGGGAAGCTGAGGTGGGCAGATTGCTTGAGATCAGGCATTCAAGACCAGCCTAGCCAACATAGTGAAACCCCATCTCTGCTAAAAATACAAAAATTAACTGGGGGTGGTGGCGTGCACACCTGTAATCCCAGCTACTTGTGAGGCTGAGACAGGAAAATTGCTTGAGCCTGGGGGGCAGAGGTTGCAGTGAGCCAAGATTGCGCCACTGTACTCCAGCCTGGGTGACAGTGAAACTCTGTCTCAAAAGTAAAATAAAATAAAGTGGTAGAGCAGAGCTGCACTTACACAAACTCTTAGAAGAAAACGTGGGTGGAAGCTTCCTGATACTGGATTTGTCAGTGGTTTCTTGGATATGACACCAAAAGCACAGGCAACACACAAAAGAAAAAATTAGGTAAGTTGAAATTATTTAAAAAAAAAAAAAGTGCATCAAAGGACACTGTCAACGGAATGAAAAGATAACTCACAGAATAGGAGACAGTATTTCAAATCATATATCTGATAAGACTTAATATCTAGAATGTATAAAGGACTAAATGATTCCTAAAACTCAACAACAAAAATGCAAAAATGAGCAGAGGAGTGGAATAAATGTGTTTCCCAGCACATTTATTTATTTATTTAGTGATTGGTGTTTAACATCACTAATCACTAGGGAGATGCAAATTGAAACCACCATGGGTACCACTTTATAGCCATTAGGAAGGCTACCATCAAAAAAACAAAAACAAATAACAAGTGTTGGTAAGGGTGCAGAGAAATAAGAAACCTGGGCTTTGCTGGTGAGGATGTAAAATAGTGTAGCCATTGCAGAAAACAGTATGGTGATTTCTTAAGAAATTAAATATAGGCTGGGCATGGTGGCTCAGGCCTGTAATCTCAGCACTTTGGGAGGCTGAGGCCAGCTGGTCACAAGCTGAAGAGATCAAGACCATCCTCACCAACATGGTGAAACCCCATCTCTTCTAAAAATACAAAAACTAGCTGGGCGTGGTGATGGACGCCTGTAGTCCCAGCTACTCAGAAGGCTAAGGCAGGAGAATCTCTTGAACCCAGGAGGTGGAGGTTGCAGTGAGCCGAGATCATACCACTGCACTTAAGCCTGGCAAGAGAGCAAGAATCCAAATAAAAAAAATAAAGTAAAAATAAATATAGGCCGGGTGTGGTGGCTCATGCCTATAATCCCAGCACTTTGGGGGGCCGAGGTGGGTGGATCACCTGAGGTCGGGAGTTCAAGAACAGCCTGACCAATACAGAGAAACCCTGTCTCTACTAAAAATACAAAAAATTAGCTGGGCATGGTGGCGCGTGCCTGTAATCCCAGCTACTAAGGAGGCTGAGGCAGGAGAATTGCCTGAACCCAGGAGGCGGTGGTTGCGGTGAGCCGAGATCGCGCCATTGCACTCCAGCCTGGGTAACAAGAGCGAAACTCCGTCTCAAAAAAAAAAAAAAAAGGGTGAAACTCTGTCTCAAAAATAAGTAAAAATTATGTTATGATTCAACAACTCCGCATCTCAGTACATACCCAAAAGAAATGATAGTGGGAACTCACCAGATATTTGTACATGTATGTTTATAACAGCACCATTCACAATAGCCAAAAGGTAGGAGCAACCCAAGTGTTTATCCAAACAAAATGTGGCATATACATACAATGGAGTATGTGAGCCTTTAAAAGGAGGGATTTTGTTTGTTTGTCTGTTTGCTTGCTTGCTTGCTTTTTGTTTTTTTTTGAGATGGAGTCTTGCTCTGTTGCCCAGGCTGGAGTGCAGTGGCATAATCTTGGCTTACTACAACCTCCACCTCCCGGTCTTGAGTAATTCAAAAGGAGGGAAATTTTCATACATGCTCTCACATGGAAAAGCCTTGGAAACTTTATGTTACCTGACATAAGCCAGTAACAAAAGGACAAATATGGTATGATTTCTTTTACATGAGGTTCCTAGAATAGTCAAAGCTATAGACAGAAAGTGGAATGGTGGCTGCCAGCGGTTAGGGGGATGAGTAGATAGGGAGTTTTATTAACTGGGTATTGAGTTTCAGTTGAGAAGATTGAAAAGTTCTGGAGGTGGACAGTGGTGAAGGTTGCCCCAACAATGTAAATGTGCGTAATGCCACAGAACTGTACACTTAAAAATGGCCAAAAATCTAAATTTTATATTTATTTTACCACAGTAAAATAAAAGAAGGTAGAAGAAGGAAAGGTAAAGTAAGAAAAGTACAAAACACCTTAATGTGTAGTGTGCTAAATAGGATGGCCCATTGTAAACCACACCTGTTTACATTTAATATGGCATTGTATACTGAACCTTTACAGTATATGGTGGCATCTTAAAGGTGTTGAAAAGTCCTGCAGTTAAGAAACAGTTTAGGGCCAGACATGGTGGCTCCTACCTGTAATCCCAGCAGTTTGGGAGGCCAAGGCAGGTGGATCACGAGGACAGGAGATTGAGACATCCTAGCCAGAGTGGTGAAACCCCACTAAAAATACAAAAGTTAGCTGGACGTCGTGCACAGTAGTCTCAGCTACTCAGGAGGCTGAGGCAGGAAAATCATTTGAACCAGGGAGGTGGAGATTGCAGTGAGATTGCACCACGCACCCCTGCACTCTAGTCTGGGCAACAGAGAGAGACTCTGTCTAAAAAAAAGATAGAAACTGAAAGAAACTGTTTATTATATCAGGTGGTGGCAAAGGGTTTTCTATAAAGGAACAGTTAATATTTCAGGCGTTGTGGGTCATTTAATGTTTGTTGCAGGTACTGAGCTCTGGAGTTACACTGCAAAAGCAGCCATGGACAGTATGCAAATCAATGCGCATGGCTGTTTTCCAATAAAACTACAGAATTAGATGGACAACCAGATTAGGCCTGCAGGCTGTAATTGATACTTAACAAAGGTTTTTTGTTTGCTTGTTTGTTTGTTTTTGTTTTTGAAATGAAGTCTCACTCTTTCGCCCAGGCTGGAGTGCAGTGGCACGATCTGGGCTCACTGCAACCTCCACCTCCCAGGTTCAAGCAATTCTCTTGCCTCAGCCTCCCGAGTAGATGGGACTACAGGCACGTGCCACCATGCCTGGCTAACTTTTTTGTATGTTGTAAAATATTTTTGTATTTTAACATGGGGTTTCACCATGTTAGCCGGGATGGTCTCAATTTTCTGACCTTGTGATCCATCCGCCTCAGCCTCCCAAAGTGCTGGGATTACAGGCATGAACCACCACACCCAGCCTAACCAAGGTTTTTTGATATAAAAATCTGTGTCTGTTATACCTGACAGACCAGTGCCTAGTACCAACCAGTACTCTATTTTTTTTTTGTCAATATTGTCTAAAGGATTATCCAAGTAAGTAGTTTATCACCCCAGGACTGATTTAAAGACTGATTTAACATGGCTTGTTCCAGGACTGTGAGGATGGCCAGCAATAGGAAATCTGTTGATGTAATTACATTATTGGATTGAAAATCCACGTCATCAATATATACCAAATGGCATTTTAGACAGTTTAATATCCAGAAATGGCTTGTATTATTAAATATGAAAAAGAAGAAACATAATTAACTGGAAAAACAGAAAAATTAATAGAAGGGGATGCCTGTGTTCTTTTGATAGAGAAAGGTCTTGCTAAGTAAGACACCAAGACCAGAAATCTTAAAGGAAAAAAATTTTTAGATATAATATAGCAATAATATAGTAAAAGTTAAAGGAAGAATTACATACACTTATAGATTCACCAAAAAGGTCAAAAATACACTCTGAAGTGTCAACAGTGCTTCATTTCTTAGAGATTGAGTAACATGTAACCTGCCTTATATACCGCTGAGTTTTTTTAAAAGCTTACATAGGCCAGGCATGGTGGCTCACGCCTGTAATCCCAGCACTTTGGGAGGCCAATGTGGCAGATCACTTGATGCTCAGAGTTTGAGAGCAGCCTGGCCAACATGGTGAAACCTCATCTCTACTAAAAATATAAAAATTGGCTGAGCCCAGTTGTTCATGCCTGTAATCCCAGCACTTTGGGAGGCTGAAGTGGGTGGATCACTTGAGGCCCAGAGTTCAAGACGAGCCTGGCCAACATGGTGAAACCCCTTCTCCACTAAAAATACAAAAATTGGCTGGACGTGGTGGCCCAAGCCTGTAATCCCAGCTACTTGGGAGGCTGAGGCACAAGAATCGCTTGAACCTGAAAGGCAGAGGTTGCAGTGAGCTGAGATCACGCCACTGCACTCCAACCTGGGCAGAAGAGTGAGACTCCATCTCAAAAAATAAAAAATTAGCCAGGCATGGTGACTCATACCTGTAGTCCCAGCTGCACAGGAGGATGATGCAGGAGAATTGCTTAAGCCCAAGAGCAGAGGTTGCAGTGAGCCAAGATTGTGCCACCACACTCCACCCTAGAAGACAGAGGGAGAGTATCTCAACAAATTAAAATTAAATTTTAACAAAAGCATATATAAATTTTATAATCATCTGATATCAAGATATTTCCATTCTGACAAGAATAATATAGAAGAGCAAATTGTATTCCATTTGCCTAGATAATACCAAGAAGGTATTAACATGGAGAAATCAAACGAGTTTCACACAAAGTTTCAAACATATTTTCACACATAAAGACTTAACTGTGATTTATATAAATATTACTATGTGGGCTGGGCACAGTGGCTGGCGCCTGTAATCCCAGCACTTTGGGAGGCTGAGGCGAGTGGATCACAAGATCGGGAGTTCAAGACCAGCCTGGCCAATATGGTGAAAACCTCCCCCCCACCAAAAAAAAAATACAAAAATTAGCCAGGTGTGGTGGTGGGTGCCTGTAGTCTCAGCTACTCTGGAGGCTGAGGCAGGAGAATCGCTTGAACCCTGGAGACGGAAGTTGCAGTGAGCCAAGATTGTGCCACTGCACTCCAGCTTGGGTGACAGAGCGAAACTCCATCTCAAAAATAAATAAATAACGTGTAACTACTTAAAGCATGACTAGGTAATATTCGTACTATAACACATGTTTAAACTGAAATGATATTAAATGTTATGGGTAAGCATTATGTTTTCAATTTTATTCTCTTTTTTTTAAAGTTCTTCTGGTAGAAGTCCTTTTATACTTAAAATCTGTATCATACTAGATTCTCTGCTTACTCTTAAGTTTAATAAGATAATGTAGGACCAGGCGTAGTGGCTCATGCCTGTAATCCCAACACTTTGGGATACCTCCCAAGGTGGGAAGATCACTTGAGCCCAGAATTGTAAGACAAATAATGAGACCCCATCTCTACAATAAATTAAGAACTTAGCCAGGTATGGTGGTGTGCATGTGTAGTTCCCGCTACTATCCGGGTGGCGGGAAAGCTGAGTTGGTAGAATCGCTTGAGCTTGGGAGGTCAAGGCTTCAGTGTATAGTTAATATTATTTGTTGACTCTACAGAGATTTGTGCTTATAAAGTTTATCTTCATGCAAAATTAAGTAAAATAAATGTTGTTTAATTTTAGAGCTATACTGCAGAATTCCTGGACAGAAGTCATGGATTTAATATTGAAACCCCGCTCTGGAGGTGAGAATAAAATTCATGTTAAGAAAATAAATAGAATGTATGGCTAGGTATTCATGAAATTGCTTTTAATAAAAGCATTTGTGCAAATTGGGGTTGTTATTTCAGTATTTTATTTGTTTTTACAATAAAAGTATACATTTATGTATATTTTTCAACAGTTTTATATATTTAAGATTTATAATTTAGATCCTATTTTAGCTTTTTTTTTTTTTTTTTTTGGAGACGGAGTTTCAGTCTCATTTCTCAGGTTGGGGTGCAATGCTACAACCTCGCCTCCCGTGTTTCAGTGATTCTCCTGCCTCAGCCTCCTGAGTAGCTGGGATTATAGGGATGTATCACCATACCCGGCTAATTTTGTATTTTTAGTAGAGGCGGGGTTTCACCATGTTGGCCAGGCTGGTCTCAAACTCATGACCTCAGGTGATCCACTCGCCTTAGCCTCCTAGTGTGCAGAGATTACAGGCGTGAGCCACCACTCCCGGCCTCTATTTTAGCACTTTAGCTCATTCAGTGTATTAATTCATAACTGGATAAATATTTTTAAAAAATAAACACATATGTTTTTCTTTATTCACTTCTAAATCTGAGTGTATATAAATCTAAAACATTTCACCTGTGGTTATTTTGTTAAAACATAGTGTAATAGAATATAAAAACTTGGTAAAAACATCTTGAGGATTTGCAGTGTGAAGAATTCACCAAAAACTTACCAGAAAGTATCTCTAAAATCATATTGAATGAAAAAAGATTTAACTACTGCTTTACTGATTGTCAAAATCATGCTCACTTTGGGTAATTCATGTGCAAACTATAAAAAGATGAAATTATCTAATTTTAAGGCAAGTACACCCTGCCCATTAAACTTGACATTACAGTGGAAAAAGAGAGAAGGAAAAAAGTACTAGCAACTTTTAGTCATGTTAAATCAGCTACGATAATGAACAGTTAAATGGCGTTTACTATTGACCAGAGGGTGAGAGCATGTTGACAAAGCCAAATAGTTCTGTAAACTTTCTACATCTCCCGTTTTTGCACTTCCTCAGATGAGTGGAAGCTCTAAACAGCACCTATATTGCAAATAGCATTTTCTAATTTTGTGTTCTCTGTGAACTGTACTTTAAGTTATGGAAGTCTGTCTGTTGGGTAAGTCATTTATTCATAGTTTTTTTCCCCCTCAGCTGAAAAGGGCTACTTGGTTAAATGCAGAGAAGAATGGGCGAAGACCAAAGACCCAACTGCTGCCCTCAGAAAACTACCTGTCAAAAGGTGTGTGGAAGGGCAGCTGCTTCGAGGACTTTCAAAATATGGAATGAAGAATATAGTCTCTGCATTTGGCATAGTGAGTGCAATTTGTGAAGTCAGGCAATGGCTCAAGGTGTTTTAATGTTTAAATTTCATCTTAAGTATTTTATTAAATTTTGAAAGAGCAGAAGGTAAATAAGGATCCTTAGGTGATCTCTCAGCTGTTTCACCTGAATAATCTTTGCTCAGACCCTGAGTGGTGATGAGGGAGTGGATGCTGGTATTACTTATTTGAGGGCACAAGAAAAGCATCAATGTGGAAAATATAATCTTCAGTGGAAATTCTGTTTAAATTGAGTCTCTTGATATTGGAGAAATTCAGAATCTGTTATACAGTCATTTCTTGATCATTCCATCGCCAGAACTATAAACTGCCTTAGTAAAAGTACTGAACAGCAGGCAGTCTAAATCATTGCATTTTAGTCTGGTTTCATCATGGTGATTCAAGAGTAGGAAGTACCATACTAGCAAGTGTAGGCCATACCAGTATTTGGATATGTATAATCCAGGACATGTTAAAGTTTAACCCTTAAACTAAGTCTTTTCCCAGATGCACAAAGAAAGCAGAATTCTGAGTGCATGAAATTAGTTGTCAGTTCAATAATTTAGGTTCTCTCTTTCCATGGTATTATGGGAGAAAAAGCACTGTTAGCTCGAAAATTGATGTGTAAATTCCTTGAGTTTGCACACTGTGCCATTGATGTAAGGCATACTTGTCTAACCTGCAGCCTGCGGGCTACATGCAGCCCAGGACGGCTTTGAATGTGGCCCCGTACAAATTTATAAACTTTTCTTAAAACATTATGACCAAAGAAAAACAAAAAAAAGGAAAAAAAAGATAAAAAACCATTATGGCCAAGTACACTGCGTCATACCTGTAATCCCATCAGTTTGGGAGGCTGAGGCAGGCAGATCCCTTGAGGCCAGGAGTTTGAGACCAGCCTGGCCAATGTGGCGAAACCTGTCTTTACTAAAAATACAAAACAGGCCGGTGCAGTGACTCATGCCTGTAATCCTGGCACTTTGGGAGTCCAAGGCAGGTGGATCACCTGAGGTCCAGAGTTCTAGACCAGCCTGGCCAGCATGGTGAAACCCCATCTCTACTAAAAATACAAAAAATGCCAGGCACCTGTAATCCCAGGTTCTTGGGAAGCTGAGGCAGGAGAATAGCTTAAAACTGAGAGACAGAGATTGCAGTGCGCCAAGATCACGCCATTGCACTTCAGCCTGGGCAACACAGCGAGACTCTGTCTCAAAAAAAAAAAACCTCATTATCCAGACATGGTAGCGTGCACCCAGCTACTCAGAAGGCTAACGTGGGAGAATTACTTGAACCCGGGAGGCGGA